GTTGTCTAAGATTCAGCTCCTTCTGGGTGAGTAGGTACCTCAAACTCTTGTGATCGGTGAAGATGTGAATCCTCTCTCCAAAGATGTAGTGGCGCCAAATCTTCAAGGCGAACACCACGGCTGCCAACTCTAAATCATGTGTCGGGTAGTTCTCCTCGTGAGTCTTCAACTGTCTCGATGCGTAGGCCACTACCTTACTCAACTGCATCAGTACACAACCTAAGCCGCTATGAGATGCGTCACTATAGATGGTATACTCGTTGCCAGGAGTAGGTTGAATCAAGACTGGTGCCTGGGTCAGGCACTCCTTCAGTTGATCAAAACTGCGTTGGCACGCTTCTGACCACTCAAATTTGATGTCCTTCCACAGTAGCTTGTTCAATGGAGTAGCGATCGAGGCGAAGCCCTTAACAAATCGACGATAGTAACCGGCTAACCCAAGGAAGCTCCTCACCTCACGAACATTCCGCGGAGTCTTCCAGTCCACTATGGCTAAAATCTTGCTGGGGTCTACCTGGATACCGGTGGCAGAGATAACATGTCCTAAGAATGTCACCTCACTCAACCAAAATTCACACTTGGACAATTTTGCATATAGCTTGTGCTCTCTCAACACACTCAAAACCAATTGCAAATGTCTAGCATACTCCTCCTGAGTCCGAGAATAAACCAAGATGTCATCGATGAACACTACTACGAACTGGTCCAAGTATGGTCGGAACACACTGTTCATAAGCTCCATGAACACTGCCGGGGCATTAATCAATCCGAAAGGCATGACTGAGAACTCATAATGCCCATAGCGTGTTCTAAAAGCAGTCTTCGGAATGTCTTCTCTCTTAACGGAAATCTGATGGTATCCAGAACGCAGATCAATCTTCGAGAATACTGTAGCCCCTCTGAGCTGGTCGAACAGGTCGTCGATGCGAGGCAACGGATAACGATTCTTCACTGTGGCTTTGTTCAACTGCCTGTAGTCGATGCAAAGTCTCATGGATCCATCTTTCTTTCGAACAAATAACACCGATGCTCCCCACGGGGAAACGCTAGGTCGGATGAATCCCTTTTCCAGTAGCTCTTGCAACTGAGCCTTCAACTCCTTCATCTCGGCAGGTGCTATACGGTACGGTGTAGCAGATATGGGTTCCGTACCCGGAATGAGATTGATCGAGAACTCTACCTCTCTCGGCGGAGGCAAACCAGGTAGGTCTTCGGGAAAGACATCGGGGAAGTCGCAAACCGTACGAATGTCCTGCTGACGTGGTGATTTTTTTCGCATATCCTGAACGTGACACAGGAACATCTCGCACTTCTTGCGAATCAAGCGCCTCGCGCTCAAGGACGATATGAACTCGGGAGCCTTGGGGAACACCTCCCCGGAGAGTGATACGTCGCTACCGTCCTCGGCTCTCAGCCGTACGGTCCGACAACTGCAGTCAACCACTGCTCTATGCTCGGTGAGCCAATCCATACCAAGGATAATGTCAAACTCCTTGTGTGGTAGCTCTATCAAATCTGCAGGGAATTGCTTGTTAGACAAAAGTGCAACTCTAGAGGGGGGGTGAATAGAGTTGTTTTCAAGAATGTACGTTTTTCGTAAAAAAATATCGCAGGAAAAAGTAAGGAGAGTAAGGGAAAGAAGAACACCGGGATTTATACTGGTTCACCACCTCGTGGCTAGTCCAGTCCTCCGAGAGACTCTCTCGAAAGTCCTACTAATCTTCAAGCTTCAACGGGTGCTTGAAAAACCGGTACAACTTGAGAACTTGAATCACACAAGCCTCACTTTCTTACAACAACAAGACTTGAGTCACACAAGTCTTAAGAACAACACTCAAATGAAATTGAGTTTACAACACAAGAATGAAAGCTCACACAATTGAGCAAAGTAGTGTTGAAAGATTTAAGCTCTATGGATGACAACTTCTATAGCACTCAAAGAAAAAATATTTCTAACTCTCAAAAATAATATTTTGATGAGGAAAATGAAGCAAAGTATGAATAGCTCAGGGAAATATGTTGGAGTGCAAGAGGTGTATTGAAATGAAGGAGAATGAGGGATTTAAATAGGCTGAGAAAAATAAGAGAATTAATCGATTAAATTAGGAATTTTAATCG